GTTTGAATCAACCATGAGTGTAAGGAAGCAGACAAGGGTAGCCTCTAGATAAAAGGCATACCATGTGGCACAGAATTTTTGTGGGTTCTAATTTTTTTTGTTTGGTTTCCACAATCTGCAAAAATAAGTTCTCGACAAAATTTTCTTCACAAAAATTTACTCCACTGGTGCAATTTTACCTATAAACATCACAAAGTCATGAAGAATCTTGGTGCCATTTATTTAACACTTCTCTTTCATTCAGAAATAAAACTGAAGGGATATGCATCAGTGTAATTGTAATTTAGATTGACACTTAATACTGTGTTTTACGTCTCTTCATGTTGTTTTACTTGTCTGTTGCATGTAGTTTAAATAAAAAATAAACAAAACATTGTAATTCCAATAAAATGCAACTTCCTGAAAATCAAAAAAATTAATACAGAAGATAAACCAGTGTTTTGCAATTGCAAAAATTAGTTCCCGCAAAATACAAAAATTCACCGATCCACAAAATTAAAATCCTGCAAAATTTTGTGCCCCATGGTGTGCAAAGTATACTTGGTGCTAAGAATCTGCCATGTTCTACTTCTCCATGCTATACTTCTGTGGAAGATGCAGCACCCTTACCTGTATAGCTAGTGCACTGGACTCTACTTGATGTTCAGATGGCCTGGCTGTGAGCCCTGGTAGGGATCTTTGTGTTATTTAGTCAAGACACTTCACTCTCGCAGTGCGTCTCCCTACCCAAGCCTATTACTTCAAAACTGTTTGGACCACCTGGAGGGTAGTAGGGTATAGAGAGTACTAGGCTTGCTAGATCTTAATCCTTGTACTTCAGCTGTACTTTCCACTCTTCCATACAGTTCACAGTTTCTTTGAAAGCTCCTTAGCTTTACTAATAATTCTCTGTCGCATGCCCAGATTGCCAAACATCTATATTCTTCTCATGTTAAAGATGATTTCCAGTCCGTACTGCGCAGTTGCAGCACCCTAATGTTTATAAGCATAAGTCTCACTCAATGGAATGTGAATCGATGTTATTTCTTACAAACCACATACCTTGTCTTTGAGGCCTTTCAAATTCTTCTCCAACAACTTCATTGAATTTTACAGCTGCAAGGTTGTTTCAT